CCAACCAAAATGATTCTATGATTGTATGATTCTGATAATGTGGTTGCCTTCAGCACTGGCCCAAATTATCCCAGGCACCCAAGGTGTCGTGCATTGCTGGTGGCAGTGGCTGGGACAGACAAATAGGACAGTGGAGAAGCTGGGTGGAGCAGAAAGGAGGGATTTGCCCTAAAGTGAGAACCCTTGGAAATCCCTGGCCTGCAGAGATCTTTTCATTTTAAGTCTTTTTATTTGACACTGAGGGTTTTTTTTCCCATTTTACAGACGTCAAAGGTTAGAAAGCAGATGTCACACCATTACTATTTGATAAAGTTCTAGTGTTTTCCATTCTCACCACGACAGCACTCCCAGGGTAGCTCTCCCAGCTCTCCATTACTCAAGTGTATCCAGCTAAACCCAAGCCATAGGCAGTGTTCCACATGAGTTCCCATACCAACTCCAACCCTACCACTGTGCCAGAAGCTTTGATTAAGTTCAGCATGATTATATGAACCAAACAGTTTGTGGTTCACTCTCATGGCTAATTACAACCTCCTTTGCGGCGGGTGATACTCCGTAAATAACCCAGGAAAGCACCTGGTGAACATCAAGGTGCTGATTCATGGCAAATCTTTTGGACTCAGGCTGGCACGAGTCTGTTCACGTACCCAGAAATTTGCTGATCGGCCTGAAAATGCAGATTATCATGCCAGTTGCATAAGGTTGTCTCCCACCCCAGAATACTGGAGGGCAACACCTCTAAAAACTATTAGATTAGTTTCATAAGAGGTAAAAGCCAATTGCAGACTTCTGGGATCAATAATCACCTTGCCATTTATTCCAAGACAACGTTTTACGTTGAAGACTGAGCCTTTCAAAATGAAAAGTCAGGCCCTGATATTTTTTTTCTTTGAAATTGTTTTAGAAAAGGCTTAAAAAGAAAAATCATCTACTTTTCAGGACATAAAATGTGTCTACAGGAAAGATGGAGGGGGATGGTTTTTCAGGGAGTGTTGTGATAGGGTGAGGAGCAATGATTTCACACTGAAAGAGGATTTAGATTAGATATAAGGAAGAAATTCTTCACTGTGAGAGGGTAGTAAGACACTGGAACAGGTTGCCCAGACAAGAAGTGGATGCTCCATCCTTGGAAGTGTTCAAGGTCAGGTTGGACGAGGCTTTGAGCAACGTGGTCTTGTGGAATATGTCCCTGCCCACGGCAGAGCAACTAGAGAATCTTTAAGGTCCCTTTCAACCCAAACCATTCTATGATTCAGTTTTCTGAACATAGTTGTAGCAAAGCTAGAACCTTGTTTGCTGAAGTAACATGAAACACAAATAAAAGATGGAATTCTGTGCTAGATGGTTAGGACATTTCCTATTTCTTTAATTTCCAATGGAATATCTATAAATCTCCTTTACAGAGACACTGCTTTAGTAGGTTTGTGTGTTGTTTGCTTCTCTGCTTCGATGGGTCTGGATTATGTTGTTGGGTGACAGCACTGCAATGTTCACACCTCGGTATTGATAAGATAGACATTAGTATGAACCAAAAATCTCCTCAGCCCTCAGTGAAAGCACCTGGGAGATGCTTAAAGCTGGGCTGGGAACCAGAGATAGTTGTTGAAAGCAGTAAAATTGCAGAGGTTTTATCTGCTTTATCATAGAATGTCTGGGCTGGAAGGGACCTCCAAAGGTCATCTAGTCCAACCCCCCCACCCATAAGCAGGGACATTTTAGATGCTCTAGACCCAGCATCTGGGCTGACTTTGGGTTAAGGCAATTTTTGTTCACAAGTGAGTGAATATTTCTGTGAAAACACTGCAATTCTTCAGGAAATTCTGGAGAAATAGCAGAATGGAACGTGTGTTTTGATTACGGGCTAATATCTTCCTTCTTTGCCTTTCCTCTCCTCTTTTTCAGTCTATTATTGAACTCATGCACCTGAAGTGCAAGTGCCACGGCCTCTCAGGCAGCTGTGAAGTGAAGACCTGCTGGTGGTCTCAGCCAGACTTCAGGGTCATCGGGGACTACCTCAAGGACAAGTACGACAGCGCTTCCGAAATGGTGGTGGAGAAACATCGAGAATCCCGTGGCTGGGTCGAAACCCTGAGGCCCAAATACAACTTCTTCAAGGCTCCAACTGAAAAGGACCTGGTTTACTACGAGAACTCACCAAATTTTTGCGAGCCAAACCCCGAGACGGGTTCCTTTGGGACCCGGGACAGGATCTGTAACGTCACCTCCCACGGGATCGATGGTTGCGACCTCTTGTGCTGCGGCCGCGGACACAACACGAGGACTGAGAAAAGGAAAGAGAAGTGCCACTGTATCTTCCACTGGTGCTGCTACGTCCGCTGCCAGGAGTGCATACGAGTCTACGACGTCCACACGTGCAAATAAATCAGGCAAAACCCTTCGCCGGGCTCCAAGTGGAGAAATGGATTTGAGCCTACTCCCTCCGAGGTTGCAGTCATGAGAGAAGTCTACGTTTTTGATATTAAAAGAATAATTAAAAAAAAAAAACTTTTAAAAAGGCTAAAACTGGTTGGATAGAATAGGTCTAATGACTTCTGGGCTATCCCGAGGTGCATCTGACAGTCACACAAGTTACGCCCCAACGATGCCTCCTGTAGGAGACCACAGGACTGAGAACACAGAGCTGGAAAGAAGAGTTAGCAAAAGCATGGATTTGCTCTGCTCTCACCCACCTGAAGTGACTCGTGTGATTAAGTGTCCTTTGAAAGACTTGCATCTTCCCAAATATCTCCTTTTTCCCTCAGCCAGGCAGAGGCTGTGTTGGACAGCAGTACCAAGCTTTCTGAGATCTACGTACCCAACTGGACACACTCTGTATAATATGAGCAACAACAACCACAGCAAAAGAAAACAAAATCCAAAACCAAAACCCAAAACAAAACAGATCAATTAATGATTTAAAGGGAAAAAAAAGCAAATATTCCTTTGCTTTTGCCCTGGAACCAGAGAAGTCTACAAATATGTAATGGAGCTGTAGAGTGGGGCAGGCTCTTCACATGAACTTTGTAGTGTGGGAGCTTCTGCCAGATTTGACATAGGATTCAGTGGCACCTGTAGAGAGGGAGAAGGAGGAGGAGAGAAGGAGAGTGAACTGATGATGGTTTCCTGCAAATGCCATGATGTGCATGGTATGGAAAAGTTCAGCACCTGATATGTGAAGTGAAGAGGACTCGGTGTGTGCATTGAGGAGGTAGACCCACCAATGGAGATGTTGCTCCTGCTGTGGCTGGCACGTGGCTCAGCCAAAAAGACTTCCTTGGAAACGTGCCATGCAGAGCAAGTCTCCTGGAGTTGGACACTAACTGTTGGGTGTAGGATGTCTAGGTCCTCAGCACCCCAGCTCATTCCCATAGAGGAGGAAAGGGAAAGTGTTTAGACCTCCCATGTCATTAGGGAATGATGTCACTGACAGTGGGAAGTGCACTTAGTTCACCCACTCTCCACACCTCATGCAGGCTTCCCCATGGACACTTAGCAAAAGCCTGAGACCACAAGCCCGTCAGGAAGATGACTCTGAAGAACTGCTCGTCACCTGTTAATTGCCATGATGGTGAACCATCAACACTCCCCCACAAGCTGGGACAGTTTCAGACTCGAGCCAAATTTCATTCCACACCTAAATCCTACAGCCAAACCCATCTCTAAAAGTGGCACAGGTTCAAATGCACAAACCCCAAACTCTGAACCAGCCCAGAGCCTGGGCAAGTTTGGACACAGAGAGAAATCCCAACTGTGCAGCGCTGGCCCAGCTCTGCTGGTCACCTCTGACTCCCCGTGCTGCTCTACTTGAGATTTAGATCAGGATTGCCAGTTTACAGAAACAGCTCCCACCTCCTTCGTGGGCATGAGGATTTCCTTCAGCCACGTGGGCATCAAGCCTGACTCTCTGCCCATCACCTTGGTATTTACAGCTCTTCTGTGTCCTCTTTGCTTTACCCATGGCTTTGGGTTCCCTTCTTGGGAAAAGGACAATGGACTGGTATGTTTTTCTTCCTGTTCAGTACAGGAAGGGGAATGGGGCATGTTCTAACTCCCAGTGACCCAGAAAAGTCTTTTCATGGCAACGTGATCATGGCTATGGGCTAGTTCACACCTGGAGGTCTATGTGGAGAAATCAGTGCTCTTCTCTCGCTTCATATCGGCTTATTCCTGGGAACCAAAGGAGGGAGTATGCAGAAGAGGCAGGGAACAAACACAACTTAATCCCATCAGAGAGAAAACAGGAGAAAATGATGCCTCCAAGGGTTGACTCTGAGTCACGGCGTCTCCTGGGACTACTCCTAGGCTGGTGCAGTTTATGCATCACCCTCTTGTCTCAGGGCTGTGCCCAAGGGCACAAGCAAGCTTTGCTTATTGATGGAGGCACTTCTACCAATGCTCTGCAAAATAAAGCTGCGATGAAATGAGAGCAGAGAAACAGAAGAGGGGGAAGGAGAGAGGAAGAGATTGGGAGAGACAAAGGGGGAAAAAGTGGGGAGAAAAGTGGGGAGTCACAGTAGAAGGAAATTGCCACAGTAGCCAATATTCAAACACAAGCTGCCAAGAAAGTGAAGGCTGAAGAAAACCACATATGAACACTGGAGAACTGGAAAAGATGGGAGAAGGGACATCTGGTTTGCTTACTATGATGCAGTGCTAGCAGTCACAGCAAGAGACGTTAGACACGTCCCACCAGGTCCTTCTGTCAGTGAACGGTGCCCCCAAAAGCAGAGATGCAAATCACTGCAGGTCACTGACCCTCTCAATCCATTGACTTCAGCAGGGTCACACCCACAACTGATTCCACCCTCACATTTTTGGAGCATGGTGGTTTCAAACGCCTTCTTTGATACCACACCGGTGAAGAAATGGGTTGAAGGACTTGGCTTCCATGCCTGGGAGCTGGACTCTGACCCCAGCCCATCCACAGCTTGCTGACATCCATCATTTCTGCTTTTGCACCAGAATCGAGCCCAACATCTCCAGTAGGTGAAGCTCTTTGGGAAACAAGGGGGAAAAAATAACCCTTTAAACCAGGCATTTGCTGAGCAATTGCCTCTTAAGATGAAAAAAATCAGATTTTGACTCCAGCAGTGGAATTTGTTTCATCTGGCTGTGTCATCTAGTCTAAGCTATCTAGTCTTCTCCTAGGATCAATGGCAAGAAACAAACAAGTCCAGAAGGTGATTCATTAGAACCTAGGATGGTATCTAAGCTATGTTTGGTCGGTTGCCCTCTGGTGTACCTCTGTCTTCCCTCTGATTTTAGCTGATGAGCTCATACGAGACGATGAGCTCTTAGATGGGTACAGTCTGCAGATGTGAAGTCCACCATGAGTCAAGGAGGTGAAGCTACAATCTGATCATCAGCTGAGATGGGCTGGAAGTTGTACTCCATCGTTCAAAGCTGGGGTCAGGCTGGAAACAGCTCACTGGTTGAGGACTTCCACCCCATCCAAGGGATTTTTAATGAAGCCTATGCAAACTTGTTTGGTTTTATGATGTAAAGAGTCATCCACTGTGATGATATCATGTAAGGGGTTGAGCAGCTGCTACTAAAGTCGATGAAAAATGCCTGCGTGACTTCTGTTAATCACCCCCAGTGCATCAGAGGGTCCTAGTCCTGGGTCTGGCTCTGCCCACTCGTGAGGAGGGAACAGACACAGCCTGCTGGGGATCTGGGAGCATGCTGAGTGCACGTGCCAGACCTGCATCTGCCCCATGCCTTTGGAGAAGGCACTTGGGCCGTTGCTCCCTCATACATATGATTTCAGGAAGCACTTTTGGAAAATTAAGTCCCCACCCCACTGCCTACAGTGAAGGTCTCAGGTGAGGGTGGGCACCATACTGGTATGAAAGACTGAGTCAATGATGAGTGAAGTGCCATCCCCCCCATGCCTACATTGGACCTCATTGGAGATGCTCTAAACACAACCCAGAGGGTTCTTCTGCCCCAGGTTCTCCCACTCTGGAAAAACAGCAGGGCCATCCTTAAAGAGGGGACTGGGGATTTCACTCAGCACCACAAGCATCTGGTGACTTTTTGGGTGCCCTACAATATCCTCCTGGGATCCAGCTGTTGCTTCCATGGCATAGGAGTCCCACAGGTCTTAAACCTGGGCAGAGATTGTAGAGCATCCAAAATGACATGGTCTGTGTGTAGAGAGTTGGATCGTGCACTTGTCTGGAAATGGTTTTCTGTCCAAGGTTCCTCTTCTTCTCAGCTGAGCTGGGTAATGCACCAGTCCATAGTCCAAAGGCAAAAGATCATTCATTTCCCACAAAGGGGAGTTGGCCAACCCAACTTCTATGGTCCGTGGTGCTCCTTCACTCTTCACTTCTGGTGAGGTTTGTCCTCAGGCAGATGGTTTCTATCTGGGATGAGTCCAGCAGTACTAGAGAAAAGGGAGAAGGTGTCAACCAACCAAGTAACACAGATGTAAAAACTAAAAGGAAACAAGGAACCTAACACCATCCTTTTAGGTGCTGCTATCCAACCTTTCCTTCAGCTGAACTGGTGGGTTTGATGGGCCCCATCACTTCCTCATCCAGCCTCACTAAAGACAGTGGAGTGACCCACGAGGGGTGAATTTAGCCTCATCTCTTTTCTTTCTATGAAAGAAATGGAAAGTTTAGGCGTTTTTGTGGTTTTTGTTGTTGGTTTTGTTTTTCCTTTGGTTTGGTTTAGTTTTAGAATTTTGGGGCTTCTCTTTCTCAGAGAAAATAAAAACAAGGGGAGGGAAACATTTTCTATTACTTGACCCCAGATTGATCTCTTTTGGCTGAGTGTCATGCTCAGCACTGACAGTCTCCTCCAAAGCATTTTTGAAGTCTCCAGAACTCTTTCCACTCCTTACGAGGGGCTTCACGTGCAGAACTGAAGCAGTCAGGAATTAATCCTGGGGTGGGACTGCAGAGGCAACCACAGCCCAAAAGGACAATATTGGACAGAAATCCCTGAGTCAGCACCAACCACATCAGGCTCAGCTGACCACTGCTGGATTTGTGTGTTAGCAAACCTCAGAGAGCAGCTTCTTCTGCCACTCAATCTCAATTATTTCTGGTGGTTTTGGTGCACTCAAATATCTTGTCACAGAGATGTCCATGGATTAGAACGTGTTTGTTGTGTATCAATGCTTGTCATGCCTTCATCCTTAAATTCAAACACAGGAGAAACACTATGAGCTTTGGGTCACTTTTTTTTTAGGTTCAAAGAGAGGTTTCCATACTGAAAATTTGGGCTTTGGTGTTCTTAGGGATATTTAGGTTACAGCACAAGGACTCTGCAGGAGGTAGGAGTTGTGAACCCAGTCCTAGGTTCTGCACTATGGAAATTTCTCCAGGCTTCCCTTGATGCCTTAATGATATTGCTCCAGGAAGATAAACCAGGCCCATGAAAAGGCACCAAATCAAACTGCCCTGCAGCCACCAGCCATGGTAGCTGGTTCAGTAGAGACCTGCTCCAGGGGCTGCCAAGAGGGCAATGATCTGCCATCAACCACGCAGTGAGCAAGAGGGATGTCTGCTCCCTTCTGTCATTGGGGTGCCCAAGCAGCTTTTTGGCTGAGAAGTTGTAGAGAGAGTGTTAAATGATGGGAGAGAAGGTGGGCTGGGCAGGAGATCCCATCTCTTCTTCATAGTTCTACATCTCTTGTTTTCTACCTCCCTCCAAGCTAATTCTTGGCTGTTATAGGTGGGACTTTTCAGCATGGGAGAACCTCTTTTCTAAATCTCCCCTCTTTCACTGGGCAGCAGCAGTGGGATCTGGCTTGCTTTTTGCTGAGTTGTTTTCTTCATGGCTTAACCCCTCCATGCCTATGTTCCTTGTGTGCTCCAACCAAAGCTACTGGTCTGCAGTTCATCACTACTGAG